TTAGTTTGAAATCACTTAAATTTGTTCCAACAATATTGCAGCCTTTTAGTCCTAATTTTATTTTGAAAATTTCAAACTTAAATACAGCCCCTAAAACACACATTCCCTAAGAATATGTACATTTTCCTCAATAGCTACAGTAGTGTTTCACCCCTAAAAATTTTAACATTAATTTAATAATATCATATACTGTACAGTCTAGAATAAAATTTCTTCAGTTGTACTAAAAATGCCTTTTTGGCATTTGTTTATTAGGTTTTTTTTAGTGTCTTAATTGCCAGGCTCCCCCACCCTTAGTTCTCAGTTTTTTCTGTTTTGTTTTTTTCCCTTTAAATGACATTTCTGTTTTTTACATATCTCTAGGTCAGTGACTTATAGGATATTCTGCATTTTGGTGTGTCTGATTATTTATGATTAGATTCAGTGGACATATTTTGTCAAGAATACTATAGAGGGAAAGCTGGGCATTCCTTATTGCATCACGTTAAGAGGCACATATCTTTCTACTACTGGTAGTGCTTAGCTTCATCACTAGGTAAATGAAGTGATAATTACCATATCTTCACTGTGAAGATATCTTTTCCCTTTGTAATTAATAAGTAATTTATGGGGTGGTACTTTCAGAGACTATGAATATCCTGTTACCTCACATCTTTCACCTAATGGTTTTAGTATCCATTGATGATCCTTACCTAAATCACTTTATACATGTGAGGTTATAAAGTGGTACTTCTTTAAGTCTACCATTTCTCATTTATTGATTGGAATTTTACAGCTTTTGCAGCCTTGACCTCTAATAAAAAACCAATTTAAAGTTTAAGTCAGAGTTATTAATAACAGTATATGTAAGTTGTCCATACCTGTACTTCTTAACTGCCAGTTTAAATTTGTATTGTATTATGATGAGCACTGGGTGTTATATGTAAGTGATGAATCACTGAATTCTACTCCTGAAACCATTATTACATTATATGTTATCTAACTAGAATTTAAATGAATCTGAAAAAATAGTAATTAGTATTTCCAAAGAAAGAGGCCACTAGTATCCACTATAGGTTCTAGATTTTTTTTTTTTTAACATTCATTTATTTATCGTGAGAGAAAGAACATGAGGAGGGAAGGGAAAGAGAGAACCTCAGGCAGGCTCCAGGCTGTCAGTGCAGAGTCTGTCGCAGGGCTCCATCTCACAGACCATGAGATCATGACCTAAGCCAAAATCAAGAGTCAGATGCCTAACTGAACCTAACTGAGCCACCCAGGCACCTAAGGTTCTCAATTTTCTAAAGAAACTTAGCTGTAGTATTTCTAATTACAATTCTGTGTATTATATCTTAAATCACTTAAGGACTTTTCAGTGCTTCCCCTTTCACCCATGTCTTCGTATATTTATTTTCTTTTAATTATGGTAACTTGATTAAATTTTGAAACATGTTCATGAATAAGGAGAACCCCAAGAAGAGAGAAGTATGTGAAATTTGAGAGAATGGAGTAAACATTTAAATGACTAAACTAAAATGGAACAGCTCTCTGGAAATAGAACCAATCCAGTTAAAAGTAAACTAATCACTGCTTAATTATAAAGGAAAAACAAATGATGATAAAATTGTTATTGGCTACTAAGCATTCACTTGAATTACACATTAAAGAAATTTAAACTCAGTCTGATTTTATTATGCCATCAAGCGTGTTCCTAGATCACTTTCCCTTGAGTCCAGTAGGTATTCGTTGAAAGAATTCAAGCCAATGGAATATTATATTAGTCTAACTGTAGTTCAGCGTAGGTGTACATTTGCAGCATATGAAATTTAATGTGTTTGGGGCGCCTGGGTGGCTTAGTCGGTTAAGCGTCCGACTTTCGCTTAGGTCATGATCTCACGGTTCGTGGGTTCGAGCCCCGCGTCGGGCTCTGTGCTGACTGCCAGCTCGGAGCCTGGAGACTGTTTCGGAGTCTGTGACTCCCTCTCTCTCTGACCCTCCCCTGCTCACGCTGTCTCTCTCTCTCTCCTAGAAATAAATAAAACGTTAAAAAAAAAATCCCTATTGCATTAATATAAAAAAAAAAGAAATTTAATGTGTTTGGAGGGAACATTATAAATTACAAAATGATGTACATTACAGTATTAACATACTCTGTATATCTGAAGCCGGAAAGGTTGGGAAAGTTAACTTTATATTACTGTTCTTTTTTAGAATTCACAAATCATCTATATATCCAAAATCTAGAGACCAGTGATATTTTATTGAGGGAGAACTTACAAATCTGCTGGGTTTTAAAATGAGAATGCTCAGTAAGCATTGGTGCCTTTCATGAATTATGACAGTTTTTTTTTTTTAACTTATCAGATAATTTGTAACATCTAAACATGTGATAGTAATGACATTACTTCTTTATGTTTTAGACTATCCCCATAAATATGGTCCACAGGGGGGCTGTGCAGATCACTCAGTATTTGAAAGGATGAGGAAGTACCAGATGACTGGTGTAGAGGAAGTAACACAGGTAAGGATTTTAATACTAGCTTGCATTTAAGAAATGGAAATAATCTTGGGCATGTGTTCCTGCATTAAAAACATTATGTTCTAGAATTTCTGAAAGATGTATGCCACTGTGGAGAAATAGTATTTTTTAAGTTAAAACTTCTTTTAAAAATTTTTAATGTTTATTTTTTTTAAATTTTTTAACATTTATTTATTTTTTAGACAGAGAGAGACAGAGCATGAGCAGGGGAGGGCCAGAGAGAGAGAGGGAGACACAGAATCCGAAACAGGCTCCAGGCTCTGAGCTGTCAGCATAGAGCCCAATGCGGGGCTCGAACCCACAAACCATGAGATCAGGACCTGAGCCAAAGTCGGATGCTTAGCCGACCGAGCCACCCAGGCGCCCCTAATGTTTCTTTTTGAAAGAGAAACACAGAGCATGCGTCTGGGAGGAACAGAGAGAGAGGGAGACACAGAATCTGAAGCAGGCTCCAGGCTCTGAGCTGTCAGCACAGAGCCTGACATAGGGCTTGAACCCACAGATCTTGAGATCATGACCTGAGCTGTTCACTTTACTGACTGAGCCACTCAGGTGCCGCATTGACTTTTTTTTTTTTTTGACCTTCTTAAAAATAGTTATTCAAAACACAAATTCAAAATGAAAAATTATTTTTAGGTTAAACATTTACTATGTATTTTGGCATCCTTCTAAAAGTAGTAAGATAGGGTAATGTTCCTTGAGTTTCTTGAGTCACAAATGCAGATTTGTGTGTTTCTTGATCTGCATAGTGAGTGGCACAAACAATTCTATGTCAGGAGATCTTTCAAGTATAAGTGAGAATTTATTTTTGCATTTGTTGAACAATTGTGTATCAGTCTTCTACCATGTGCTAGAGACTGGTAGGTCTGGGAATATGTATGGGAAATGAAGATAAAAGCTCGTTCTCAAAAAGTTAATACAACTTGACCCTCGAACAACATGGTGATTAGGAGTGCCAACCCTTGTACAATTGAAAATCCACGTGTCACTTTTGATTCCCCCAAAACTTCTAGTAGCCTGCTGTTGATTGGATACCTTGCTGATAACACAAACAGTTGATTAATGTACTTTGTATGTTATATGATAGTATGGTGTATTATTACAATAAAGTAAACTGGATTAAAAAATGTTATTAAGAAAATGAGAAGGAAGAGAAAATACATTTATAGAACTGTAGTTTATGTATGGGAAAAAAATCCACATATAAATGGGCTCACACAGTTCAGACCAGTGAAGGAGTTGTGCAAGGATCAATTGTAGTTTAATTGGAGACAGAAACAATTGAGGGTGATAAGAGATAGAAGAGGATTAAGCATAAAAGGAATAGTTAATTTAGTCTAGGAAGTATTTGAGGACAGTAATCAGAAACTAAAAGAAAAAGGAGAAATTAGATTGACAAAAAGAGATAGGAAGACAGGAGGAATAGTGTATACAAAGGAGAGATAGCAAAACCAGTAAAGAATTTTTAATTTCAGGGACACCTGGCTGACTCTGTCAGAAGAGTAGAAGAACATGTGACTCTTGATCTTGGGGTCATGAGTTTGAGCCTCATGTTGGGTGTAGAGATTACTTAAAAATAACAAGTTTTAAAAACAAAATAATTTTTAACTCCAGGATGGAGTGCAAGATTAGCCTGGGAGCCTAATTAGAAGTTGTTTCAGTTGAGAATAGTGGCCTATACTAAGATATTGGCAATGTGGATAGAGAGGACAAGACTATAGATTGCTAAATATAAGGGTTTAGCAGTGGCTAGATGCAACAAAGTAGGTTGCATTTCTTTATATCAACAGTAGATTACCAGAAATGTAATGAAAGAGAGGACATCATTAATAATAGTATCAGGAATATCATGTATTGAAGAAACAGTGTAACAAAGGGTTATAAGGCTTAAATAAGGAAAATTGTAAAACTTTGGAAGAAATGTTAAAGAAGATTGATTTTAAAAAAAAGAGATATACCATATTTGTGGAAAATAATACCTCATATTATAAAAATATCAATTTTACCTACATTGATTTGTAGGTTCACTGCATTTCCAATATAAATTACAACAGGGTTATTCACACCACATGATTGGTTGAGAATGTTATACAGAAAAGTAAAGGCCAAGAAGAAGTAGGGACCACCTAAAGACTGTAAGCAGGAAAAAGATTTACTCTGAAAGATTTTATGATTTATTATAATAATTAAGAGTGTGATATTAGCATAGGATGAACAGGCTGACTAGTGGAATAAAATTGAATACTCAGGAAGAGACCCATACATGTGTGAAACTTTGTTTAATAGTGGAGGTGGAATCTCAAATCAGTGTGGAAAAGTAGAGATCCCTGAATAATTGGAGCCAGAAAAAAATGTCTATTTGGAAAAAAATGAAGTCAGGTCTCCATCTCACATCATGTATAAAATCCTGATATATTAAAGTATTAAACGTCTAAATGAAAACTTTGAAGCTCTTGGTGGAAAAAGTATGTAGAGAGTTTCCTTACAGCTGTGATGGAATAACTGATTTCCAACTAGACTACCTGCAAAATATATGAAAGACTGCACTGAACAAAATATATGAAAGAATTGTTTTCAAACGTTGGACAATTTGTCATTCAGGCAGTGAAGGAGGCAAAGGAAGATTGAGACCCCTGAGAGAGGCTAAATCTCTCAGTGATTTCCCAGATTCCCAGATTTTTTTTTTTTTTTTTGGGACTGGTGGCAAAAGTTTAGGTATGGCACAGAGGAAGGGGATCTCAAGAAGAATAAAAAGTACATAGCAGTCTTGCTGAGTTGAAGAGACAAGGCAAAGTATAGTAAGGGTGAGGTATCTGGACTCAGGGCAGACTCTCAGAGAGTATTACACTGAGAAGAAGCTCCAGATATCTGGACAGAGGTTGCCTTGAGTTTTGCTGAATACTAATCTGTGCATGCACAGGGTGAGATTCTAATAGACAACTACTAGAGAAGGACAAACTACTGAAGAAAGTATAAATTGAACAAGCCTGCCTTTATTAAGCTGGAAAACCAAGCTTGAAAAAGGTCAAAGTGATTAAATTAATTCCCTGTCAAAATAAAACTCAATATTTATTAAAAGAGGACACAGCATACAGATACACAACAATGTAAATATCTAGTAATGTTACATTTGAATGTCTAACATTCAAAAAATATTACTAGATGATAAAAAGATGAAAATGATCAGAAACAGAACCAAAAATTAAAGGCATTAGCACACAAGGACTTTAAAATAACTATTATTAGGGGCGCCTGGGTGGCTTAGTCGGTTAAGCGTCCGACTTTCTCTTGGGTCATGATCTCACGGTTCGTGGGTTCGAGCCCCACATTGGGCTCTGTGCTGACTGCCAGCTCAGAGCCTGGAGCCTGTTTCAGTCTGTGACTCCCTCTCTCTCTGACCCTACCCTGCTCACGCTGTCTCTCTCTCTCTCTCCTAAAAATAAATAAAAAACATTAAAAAAAATAAAAATAACTATTATCAATATGTTCAAAGAATTATAGAAAAACATGAAAACAAACAGGAGAGAATAGAAATTATAATAAAGAACCAGATGTAACTTACAAACTATGAAAAGTATGTTTTCTGAATTGGAAAGTTTAATGGATAGACTTAAGAGCAAATAAGTTGTTGCAGAAGATAACATGAGTAAACTTGAATAAGGGACAATAGAAAAATAGAAACAATTCAAATCTAACCACAGGAAAAAAATTTGGAGTCCAAGGAGGAAGGAATGTAGAAAAAATACTTGAAAGATTAATGTTTCCAGATTCTTAGGATATGGAGAAAAATTTTAATCCGTAGCCTAAGAAGCTAGTGAAACTCCAGCAGGATAAACATAAAAATTATACCAGGACATATTAAAACCAAATCAATGGAAATGAGAAAGTCAGAAAAGCAGCTATAGAGGGGCACCTGGCTAGCTCCATGGGTGGAGCATGCAGTCATGGGATTGTGAGTTTGAGCTACATATTGAGTGTAGCAATTACTTAAAAATAAAGTCCGTCACAATAAAAAGCCATAGAAAAGAAGATACGTTTACATACAGGGGAGCAAATAATGTAAGAATAACTGCTGACTGCTTATCACACATTGCAAACTGAAGACATATATGGAATGACAGGCCTGAGCTGTCAGCACAGAGCCTCACATGGGGCTCAAACTCATGGACCGCAAGATCAAAACCTGAGCTGAAGTCAGATGCTTAACCGACTGAACCACGCGGGTGCTGTTAAAGATCTTTTTTAGACAAAAGCTGAGAGAATTTGCTTCTAGGAGGTTTACATTGCAAGAAATGTTAAAGGATGTTTTTCAGGTAGAAAAAGAATACCAGGTGAAAATGCAGATTTATACAAAGAGGTAAAGAGCATAAAATAGTAAGTACATAGGTAAAATATAAAAGACATTTTTATCATTTAAGCATTTTCTTTAAGAAGATAATTATTTAAAATAGTAACAATGTAAAATGAGTTTATAACAGAAAGAATCCAAATTTATGATAATAGCTCACAGGATAGGAGGAGGAATAGTGGAAGTATATTGCTCTAAGTTTTTTACACTATACAGGAAACAGGATAATTTTGGCAGGTAGACTGCTATTTAAAAGTTGGATATTGGACACTCTAGTGCGCAGCTCAGCAAACTACAGCCCTTGGGCCAGCTGCCTGTTTTTGTAAATAAAGTTCTCTTGGAATACAACCACAGCCATTCATAGATGAATGTTTGTGGCTGCCTTTGAACTATAATTGGTAGAGTTGAGTAGCTGTAACAGAGACAGTGTGGCCCAAAAGTTTTCAGTATTTATTATCAGTCCTTTTAGGAACATACAGCCTGGTGAACATATATAGGAGTCATTTTGCTTCTGTGTACTGCTATACTGCAAGTCAAGTAGTTTTAAAATTTTAGTATGCAATGCTGATAAAATAATTTCCAATTTAGTTGAGCAATTTAAACTTGACTAGTCATGAATGAGATTCTCCATTGC